CTCCACCGGACATACAACCACAATCAATACGCAAATCAACCAGATTAAGACGTGAACCGGAATACCTCAAAGACTTCATAACATAAACAATAACAATGAGATCATTGACCTGATTGACACCTTTCTTCTCTCAGGGTTTTGAGTTTAAGTATGGAATTTTCTAGTACATGTAGTTACAAAAATGTAGTTAGTTATATTGTTAATGTTTAATGGTACATTCTCAAGGTTTCGAGTTCAAGTATGGAATTTTCTAGTAGTTAGTTGGTTATATCGTTAATGTTTAACATTTTTGAATGTATGCTTCATCGTTTCTACTGCAATGAATATTTGTGAGATACCTATGTTTATGAACTGATATTATAACCTCTGCAAGGCAAGTTAAAGGCTACCATATAGATTATACCAGAACTACACCAACTCTGCAATATGATTTATTCATTAACATTCATAGACTGAATATCTAAAGAGGAGATGGATGTAATGTCCACTATACTAGTACACATTTATATTCATGTAATTTTTATTTGTAAAGTGCGCCCTCACAGGCAATGTGTAAGACAGTGTTTACAATATGGCTGCCATGTTCATGCAGTGAATAAATGAAGCTCAAGTTTGTGTTCCCACCATTGTATTAATTTCTGCCTCACGATCTTACATGATTCATAATCATAATCAAGTCATGTCATGTTTCACCAATATCTCAGATCATCTGTATAACAATCTCAAACCCACTGTATCTGCCACAAAATTCTTTTGAAAGTTGAAAGCTAATCCTTCTCTACAAAACCCCTGATTTAAAGCGGGAGGGTCATCACCTGCGCACGCGCTGGAATTCAGTCCCAAGCGACGATAACAACACACGCTAAAAACGCAAAGGCTCATGGGTAGATGCTTGTTTGTAAACAATAACACGCTATGGCCATCTGACGCACTCTATGGCCATCTGACGCACGCTATGGCCATCGTGACGACTCCCCCGCTGTGATAGTCATCTTAAACAAGTTCTGTACGTGTACTGGAGACCATAACATAGCAAATAACTTGCGAAATATATTCCATAGCATAAATGAATTCAAAGTCAAATCTAAGTACTAGTATGTGAAATTGAAGGATGTGGTTTCTTCGTACCTTTTGCTTTTTAACAAATTTAACTAGAAATTCAGCTTCACGCGAATAAATAAATAAATCAGTCACCGGTGCACAATTTGTTCTTTTTGAAATGGTGATGTTATTTCTCTTTATTTATATACTGATATCTATCATACGGATGATGTCATTTTTAGTGTAGATAGTGTTTGCATGCGTCTTATTCGCAGAACGAAATGACGTATGGTGAACAGCGATTAGATGGTAATGCATAAGTAGAATCTCTGACATGACAAAACACGTTTAAATATGTATAACAAAGTAGATCAGAATCATATGCAACAATCATGCACTGGTAACAACTAAGATTATTTTTATTGAAGTATTTCTGATGAATAATGTGCTCCAAACTTGAATTCAACATGTAATGTTGTAGGACATAAGAAGGGAAATCAAAAGTGTTTAAAATTGAAGTCAAATGTAATCTTGATTTCATTTTTGGAATTTCTCAATAGACATTTTGATATATACCATTACTCGGAAATAAATGACATTCCAGTATTTTTTGCAACCCCTCTGTGACGGTAGACACTATAATTTTAATATTTTAAACAACTCATTGATTTGAACATTTATAGATAATAGATAAACTAATATAATACAATAACGAATATTCTAATGCATTTAAGCTACAAATTTATTTGAGATTTATTCCTTATTGTTAGTATTTATATATATTTTTCAGAATCGATGCTTCAATCAAGAGTTTATGGATTTCTAGAAATTCCTGACACAGTTTTTGTGGTAAATGCTGTATAATAAATATAAACCATGTATGCAAATGAGATGGGAATATTGGCGTGCATGCACAGTACGATTCAGCGTAACATTTTCAAAACGAATACATGGAGTAAATATAAATATGATCCAATTCGTGACAAATCAACACCAACAGCTCAGAACAAATAAAAATTACATTTATTTATCTACTAATTATATCTTTGAATATAAACTGGACATTCTTTATACGATTTGCATATACAACAGTGATTATCTTGCGTTTTGCTTTACAGCATTTTTTGGGAATAAGTTCCGGGGATTATT